TTTATTAAATAAAGCTTACTACATTGTATTTTTTTTCGGAAGTATAGGTATAAGAAATGTTACTTAATGTTTGGATTGCATTATAAATATAAGATCAATTATTGAAAGATTATTATTTATTAAACACATTAAACATATAATATTATTGAAATACCTACAAGTTTTCTCTGAATATAAAATTAACTGTGAAAATATAGTTTTTATCAACAAAATATCAAACTTTTAAAAATAATATTGTGGAAAAATAAACAGTGAGCAAACACATTTGTCTATGATGTTCCATACTTTAGAATCTTATAACAAAATAAGATAGGTTACAATAGTTTATACTGATGTAACACTTATAGCCTTTATAGGTTAAAATACATAAGTTACATAATAATTTAAGTATTAATCATACTTATTCAAATAAAAGTATGACAAATCTTTATATCAAAGTAATTTAATCTGTAGACAGATTAAAAAAATAATCGTAAGACATAAAGGATAATATTATTTACCAACCAATCTTTGGAACTAATAAGTGTAGCGAACATATTATAACGTAATAAATGTCACAAATTCATGCAAAAAAACATCAACTAATTTAAATTGCTATTACTCTGATAATTTTGTACTCAGATAGTTGGGTAAGCAAATACAATTCATGGAAACATATAATTAGTGATCAATATGAGGGGGGAGGGTTGGCATTTAAGAAAAATAAATTGTAATAAGCGTGCTTAATTATTCTAATAATCAGTAAAAAATCCAGATAGCATGTAAATGTTTATCACTAAGTATGATAAGTATATAAATAATAAATAACTAAGTAATATTGAATGGTTCTAAGCAAAAATATATTTTAATCTCTTCAATTAGCGTTTACACACTGTACCTATGTATTGTCATTTGTCATCTAGTAAAATGTTGTTATTTTAAATACCTATTTTAATTAAGCGAAGCATTTTATTATATTTTTCGCTGACGTAAGTTATTAACATAATAATTACAAAACAACCGTTACAGAAAAAAATGTCCAATTACAAAACTGGTGCCAATAATGAATCAGGTAATAGACAGGGTGACAAGAACAGATTCTGACATTTCGAACAGTATTTCTCAAAATAGTGGTCACGACCGAATTTTGGGTCACGAGTGATTTTGAAAGGGTCGCCGATAGACATAATTAAAGTGTTTTGTTTTAACATTCAATTACATTTCGTTTATAGGCAAATAACAACACACAGCGCATATGATTATCAAAATACCCACCGCACGCACCGGTACACTTTGCCTTAGTGATTCATTAAAACCAACTAATATAGACACTAATAGTGTAAGGCAGTGTCAGTATGGAAAATGTATTCAATTTTGTTCAAATAAAATGTATGCGTTTACTAAGTTATCAACTGATCAGTGTCACTTAAAAATATTTTATAAATCATATAAATGTATAATATAGCATTTGAATATAATTATATATAGGTCGGTACAAATTATCGATAGAGCATTTAAACGTATTAATTGTTTTATTTAAAAACTAATTTAATTATAATTTGTATTATAGTTACATTATAGATGCCTATTCTGTTACAGAAACATATTACCTATTATTGTTTTTAATTTTGTTGCGTATCTTATTTGATTTTTAGTTTTACAAACAATTTAAATCAATGTTATTTCTGAATTGCTGTGAAACCATTGTTCCAATTGGTGACAATATTTGTTTTACAATGAAACTATTTTTCCTGTAAACACTTTTTAGTATTATAGAAATACTGTGAAAGTTTCATTTAAGTTTTTCTATTGAAATTTTGATACATACAGTTGTATGATGCTTCACCATTGTAAATTTGTCAATATACATATATATAGTATTTTTTCTCACCCAAACTTATGAGTTATGAATTTAAAAACTTTAAATTTCTATTAAATGTATATATTTAAATGTACGAAATTCATAATTCTATGCCCTCAATTCAAACTCAAAAAATTACATTTTCCGACACAATTGTTGTTACCTTAAATGCATTTAATGTATGTAATAATATTTTGTTTATTAGCGTTTTAGAAATGTGAAACCACAGTTTAACCTAGAAAATACAAATTCATACAAAATTAATTTAAAACAAACCGTATGTCTTAGATCTATATTTTGTTTTTTTTTTTAAATTTACTATCCGCCACTAAAATAAAACACCTCATTGCCTAATAGAAATGTATTTTATTAACTTAACTTTAAAAAAGTATTGCTTGTTTTTGATTTTCATCTAATAAATCTATCATTGAATAGAATATTGTAGTAGGTGCCTGCTATTGTTTCTAAAATAATTAAAAAACAAAAACTTCCAAAAAATATAATCATAATATTATTTTCAAAGCACACATCATTAAACGATCTAAACTATTGTTTACTTAATCTTATATCTTGTTTAGTTAGTATTGATATGATAGATCGATTGATACACATAGTACAGTTCTTAAAAGTTAGTCAGGTGTGACGAAATTGTAAAATCAATTTACTAGGTGGTGGTATCAATCTGTGTCAATTAATATTCATCATATTATTATGTAAAATGATTTAATATTAATACAATTTAAATGTCATAATATTAATTAATAGGTAGATGTGACAATTGTAGAACATACTACGTGTATTATAGTACATACCTACTATGCCTAGTACAATACATTAGTTGGTTTAATACTGTCATAATATTATACTGCGGTGTTATGTATTATTATAGTTATCATCAATAATGATTGTTATTTCAGTAAATTAGTAGAAATGGTTTTAAATCTACAAAACGCAGATTCGTCATTTGTTGATATAAACTCAGCATTATTAAAATATTGGTTTTGATCAGATTTTGAGGAGAAAGACTTGATTAAAACAAGTCGGGAAAACTTAAATGTGTCGTTTGTTTATATTATAATATTATAAGTATTGACATGATTTACTACAACTGTTGGGAAAAATATTTATTTCGTTTATTCATCAATGTTACATCATAGTTTGTTTGTAATTGCAATTACCAATTCGTATGAAATATAGCGTTAATTTTTTTTTTGTTCCTATGTAGTTTGGTCGATAGCTGTTCTCGTACAGATGATCTCGTTGGTAGCTAATTTTTTTTTTATCTTCTCCGTGCGAACGTTGTTCGAAAAAGACTAATCTGAATAAATTACGATGTCTGTTATAATTATTACTATCAAAACCGGTTGTAGTAGTAGCCCAAGTGATCTGATTTTGTTGGAAACCCATTCTCCTCCTCCCAGTCCGCTTTTTTTTATTTTATACAACAAACATGATCCTACCGGTGTGTATACGTCCTAACTCTGAATTCAGAATGAGTGTTGGTTACTAACACGTTATTAAGTTAACAAAACATTAGAGATTTCAACTTCCCTCGAGAGACTAAAATGAAAACAAAAAAAAAATAAACATATATATTATTATATATAATATATCTGAATGTTCGAACATTTTAATGTTTATTAAAACAAGTTTACGGGTAGTAAATATAGATTTATTTTTATATTTACATTACAATGAGTTCAGGTATCGAAGAAAATAAACTTAAATTATTCTGTATTGTTTTATAAGCTGTTTATAGTGTAAATGTAATATTTTTCTTAGTATTTTTATTAATTAACACGTTAAGGTATTTATCGTGTTTTTTTTTAAATTGATTCAAGTATTACTTAAAAATACGCATATTATAATTTTATATTATTTGAAAAGCTTATTATAATGAAATTACTAACTAAAAATAGTTAAGTAGGTTTTAAAACATTTAATAGTAGATTATTAACTGTACCAACAATCATCCGATCATTGACACATTGTTACAATATTATGATATTTCAAGTTGAGTAAACTCATATAAATACTTATTAGTTATTTACTTTTAAGACTTTTTTCGCTTGAATTTCTGATAACTTGTTATAACTTATAATACTTTTATTTCAGTTTGAACACAGAATCAAATTAATATTATTGATATATATATAGGTGTGTATGAATAATGTATATAAATGTTGATCATACTATTTATTTTTTTTAAATATTAATTAACTTAGTGTAAAAAAATTCCAAACTAAATAATAAAATTAAAATTTTAAATTTTGAAACTAAAAGTTATTATTGTTATTAAGATATAATGAGATACTTTTGGATACGACATCCAGACCAAAATATAATCTTCTCGGACTCGACCCAACCTGTTATTAGTGCATATAACCAGGAATAACATTGTTATAATATCATTAATCATAAATCATAGACATCATTTATTGAGTATAAATAAATTATCAAATAATGTAATGTGCATTTAGTATTATAAGATTTACCTAAAGTTGATACAACATATTAAAGTATATTTATATTGCATTTTTTCTTTATATTTAAATTTAAAATAATAATAAAAACATGTGTTTGATAAAAAAATAGAAAATTCTTTTCAAACTTTTCAAACTTTTTAAACATTGTTGATGTTATGTCATTATACACGAATTGCGTCGTTTTGGTGTTTTTCTGACTATAAAACGAACCCCGTACCTTGAGTTTCTAGATGTTTTTAGAATATATAATATATATTTGAAAATACAATATTTTAATAATAAATTGAACTGGTATAACGTATTATGATGAGGATTTGACGTGTCGTCGATAATTCTGTACAGGTTTATAACGTGTCATTGTTGCCATCGTTCGTCCTTTTTTGTCGTCGTGCCTTACTATATTATTATATTATTATTATCATTATTATATACTTTGTCGAGTCACGTTGGCGGTAAACATGACCGATGCATGTTATGTATTTAGGCGTATAGCACATATTATGCACTTAGTTCGCCGGGTAGTTCCTATACAATATTGTCATAATAGTAGAATATAAACGTTAATTAATGTCTCCGTCCAGCTGCCTAGTCTCAACCTACAGCCTCTATATAAATATATTATACACAAGACGTGTCTAAATATACGTTAACTAGACGAGTAATGAGGTGCTTACCTCTCAGACACGAAAACAGCAACAGAAGCAATCCGATCTGTGGAAACGATCGGAGTGGATTTCGTCGAATCCTCCTGCCGCTGCAGGTACGACGACTGCAACGGTGCATAGCAGCGATTATGGGATTCGGTCAGCGGTGGTCGGCCGATTTCGGCGGGTCGTACGACATGGGGCGAATCGCAATGTGGCGGGAGGGGGAGGAGACCGACAGAAAAATGTAGGGAAATTTAAGGGATGAAAAATCCTATCGGCAGAACTAGGGATATTACGCTATATTATTATAGTCTGAAGCACGGCCGTCGACGGACGCGTGTGGGCAAGTGACGGCGACGACTACGACGACGACGACGATGGATAAGACGCGCGCGAGCGAAGAACCGACCGTGACCGAACGACTGACGATACTGAATGGTAGCGCGCGAAGACGAGACGCCGCGTGTGTGTTGCGTGTGTACCACCGCGGCCGGTCGCCTCGTCGTTTGGTCTGCGACGGCTGCTGCTGCTGCTGCTGCTGCGGTGGCACCAAGAAACAGCAACACGCGCTTGACAGCAGCAGATAATACTCACACAAGCACATATGTATTACATATATATATAATATTCGTGTACATCTGATGATCGTGTACACCGATACATCTGATCGTGTATAGACCGATAACCAGCGGGGTGGTTAAATGGTCGTAGTTAGTAGTGTGCAGTAGTTGCTTATAAATTAGTAGTAGTAGTAGTAGTAGTAGTGCGAGCAGCCGCCACCGCCATAGGACCGGTAGCCCCCGGAGTTTCTATGCACGCCGCCGCATCTGCTCAGAGGAGTCACGGGTGTCTCGTCCGGAGACGGATAACGAAAAAAAAATTATGGAGAAAGAAACGATTATCACCGGCCGTCTCGGAGGCCGTGCGCGTTGTATAATAATATCGATATGAAAAAATAATTAAAAATTAATAAATAATAACGACGACAATATAATAATAATATTACACTATACTTGTATAATAATATAACGACCATAAAAATATACAATTTTATAAACATACCACAAACACACACGCACGCACACCCTCTCTTTCAGACGTGTCAGTGGATAGGAAGGGCTTTATTTTGGCTTTCGACCGTGGTTTTACCATAAGGCGTAAGTATGAAACGGAAAAAATATTACAATATAATATATTATTATTATTATTATACTTCACGTGTAGATATGGCGAATAATACGGATCAAGACAATTGACAAAGAAAACTGCAGGGCATTATATTCTTCTCGTCGATGGATAATTCGTTTCTGCGTCGAAAACGCCCCAATTGGTGTTGTACATAATATTTTCCATTATCATTATTATTATTATTATTATTATTTCTACGTTTTTTTTCCTTCTTTTCTTATGCACTTCAAAGAGCGATTTAAGTCAACTACACGCGATTCGTTTTGTAAACTGCAACGAGATCACGTGTTTTGCCGTGGTTGCCAATTTAAAAATATTATTATTAATAATAATTATATGCTTTAAATGAGATTCGGGATTTTAGTATTTCAATACCTTAAACTCGAATATCCTATGAATACGCAATAATAGAATGAGCAAATTATGTCGCACACAAACACACATACACACATACACACACACACACCCACCCCTCGCCCACTCGTATATTTTAAATCCATATTAAACGCACGATGAACGGAAAAGTATTTAACTTTTACATGTTTAACCAGCAGAAAATCCCTATAAAGTTCATCTGTCTATTTTTTTTTTTATTTTATGTTTTTTTTTTAACGTGTCTAAAATGGCTTGTCAGAAACGAATGTAAATTAAATAATAACGTTAATAATAAATAACGATTGATTTTTTTTCCTCGAGAACTTGTTGTACCTACTCCTCTTTTAATTAAATATATTATTATTATATAAAAGGATCGAGACGTAGAATTATACCCAATTATACATTCATTAAAATGCCATTTCTAGTACACATGGTAGCATGTATTTGCAAGAATAAGTAAAAGTATATGGCGTTTTTATATGCTAAAATGTTCATATTAACATGCGTGTACTTACATTTAAAGTCAATCGTTCGCAATAAATTATGGGCACTTATCATTCTATTATTATCTGAGTGTGAAAGGAAGTGAGGAAGACGTAATATTTTGTTTTACAATATTATTATATGTGTTTTCTCATTAAAAACAGTATTACTTAATGATTTTGAAAAATGAATAAATTAACTTCAATAATAATATAATATATTAGCGTTAAATTATTATTTATCGTATTTTTATAACTATAAAACAAAGTTTTAACTATAAATGAGACTTTAAATTATTAAGGTTGAGAATTTACATAATATGTTAAGGGCTATATACAAATATACCACAGAAGCCAGCGAAGGTTGTTGAAAAAAAATTATAATTCTGTGTTTATTTCTAATGGTATTATTTTTTTTATCACATGTGACTTCTAAAACGAGTTCGCTCAAAATCATTTTTTGAGGGCTTTACTATTATTGCATTCAAATTAACAATATTACTAACACCCATCCAAAAAAAGTTATTTAAAATAATATTATTAGGTGCACGTGTTAATTTTTTTTTTTTAAACAGCGTGTTATGAACATTTTGTTTAATAGCTTTAAATAAATTTGGAATTGTAATTTGTTTTATAATTATTACCTTTGAAAAGACAAATTTTTGTACAACAAATATAATATTAGTATACCTAATATAAAAAAACTTAAACGTTAATTAATTATATTTTTAATTTAACTTCTTTGGCATCAAAATACTACGCAGTAGACCTTATAATAATGCCGATATATAGTTTCAGTTCAGATGAATCTATTCGTATTATACAAGCATATTTTCTATTTAAGATGTTAGGTAACTGTTAGAATTTATTTTTTTCGTAATATTGTAATATTTCTTTGTCAAATTCAATTTGTATTTTTATTTATATTTATTGGCCCGTGGACTTTTTTTATCGTCGAACTAACATGATTTTTGTTTAGCTACCTACATGGTTCCTGTTTAAAATCACGTAGTTCTGTCGGATATTGTTATAAAGTTTTTATATATTTATACATTATATTGTTTCAATATGTAATATTATGTACAAATGTGAAATGTAATTATTATCTTAGAAATACACTCATAATTTTAAACTCTGAATGTTTTTGTCTGAGAATACTATTTGGGGTAGTAAAAATGGTCTGAATGTCGGAGATTGAACGTAAGCAACGAAAGTACGTAGGTATATCGTATATATACTGTGAACTAAAAATGTTGATTAAATTGAAACTTTTTTAACTTGTTCAAATTGACCGTACAATCATTTTAAATTTATTGTGTTTGATATTATACGTTAACGTTGTTATTTTTTATTAAAATAATGCTTTTATAAAAATATGTGAATAGCATATTTATTTTATTTTCAACCCTAATATAGACTGTAATATTATAGTCTTATAATTTATTTGTTTTAAAAAAATGTAAGAATTGTAAATTGTTTAAATTGTTTTGAAATCTTTGAAGTTTCTAAATACTGTTTTCAAAAAAATTATCGTTTGCACATAATATTATAATATTATAGTTTGTCCATAATATAATAGTTTGACGTGTTTCATTATTCAAACTTCAATATCATTATTTATGGTTAAAATTAATTAGGTAAGACTGTTATTTGTTTTTTAAATAATATATAAACTTGGTGTTAATTTGATATAGGGGTCATGTGCTTTATTAAATTATTTAAAATTAAATTGAGAAAAACAATAATAATAGATGGATGGCTTTCAGTATTGCAGGGCTTTCAAAGTAGCATGTTACAAAAATGATGGGATTCGGTGATTACATTAAGTTTTCATGTGATTCAAATAATTATTATAACACGAAAATATTATAAACATTGTGGTACAACCAGCGGGGGTTAATGGGGAGGAAATGACCACCCTCTGTGAACATAATTGCTAGTTGCGCTACTAGATGAACCATTATTGTTTGCGTAAACTACTTTGATGACTACATAATATCTACGTCAAGGGCCAAATCTATTTCATTTAAAGAGGAAAATATTAACATTGTATTTATTCAACTGCCAACCATCAAATAATAATAATGTATAGAGATACATATTGTATTATTGAATATTGTTTTACTCAAATTTGTCCTCATATGTCCCCGCCCAAATGGTTTCTAAAAAACTAATAATACGTACAAATAAATGTTGTATACATTATAGATGTAGTATTTTAATAATATCATAGGACTTATAATATAGTTATATTTTGGTACCAATATACATATGTATAATTCATAATAATAATATGATTCTTTCGCGATGGCTGATAATATACATAATAATTGCATTATAATTCGATACGTTTGTTTTGAAATATTTTTTTTTTCATTTGAGTATGATATTTACAATTGCTTATACGTCCATCTGTTTTAGATGTATTATTAACATTCAACGCGTTCTAGTAATCTAGTACAGCTTTGAACTCAGTATTAAATATAATTAAAAAAAAAAACGCTATAAATCAAAATAAACAGGAGAACCCTATATTGAAATATCCCCGGGCAAGGTATTAAAATGACGTCCAGCAAAGACCAGATTGTTATGATAATGATTTCTATACGGTCGATAAACCGAATCCATTTAATTTCGAGATTTTGCTTTTAGTTTCGAATCGATGAACACGGACGAGCACTTGAGTTCTTTGTTTTCTGATATTTTCCGCATGATTTCTTATACCTAGAATCAACCATGGATAATAAAATGCAGAAATTCGGTTGTATTTTTAAATAATTATTTAATAGATCAACATTAGCGTCAAATGTTAAATTAATTACCGTTTTTCACTTAAACATGAAGTATTTGAATTATTTGAACAGTGATTAAGACATGAAATATATTAAATTTATTTGTACACTACCGAATTTTTACTGTTTGGAAACTGGAAACAACAAAAATCTAAGTGTAAACATAATAATGTTATTCAATCCAAATTCCACGGTTGATTTAATTTTTTATTATACCTAGGTACTTAATAGGTACTTAATAGGTACTTAATATTACCTATATTTCTTTATTTTCGTTTGTTTATTGTTAGTAGATT